CAAGGCCGTATTAGCTACATAGTAAATTAGTGGTCACTTTCTCCCCATGTGAGACCATGTCTCAAAAAATAAACAAAACCAAACAAAGAAAAAAAAAAAAAGCCTGTACTGAAGAGATGGCTCAGCAGGTAACAGTCTTGCTGCGTAAGTGTCAGGACCTGAGTTCAAATCCCAGAACTCACAGAAAAGCCAGATGTGGCTTGTGCCCTGTGACCCCAGCGCTCCTGTCGCAAGTGGGAAGTAAAGACAGGAGAGTCTTCAGAAGTCCGTGGGACAAGCTGGCCTGATATATGCAGTGAAGAAACCCTGCCTCCTCAAGCAAGGCCAGCAATCAGGGCTGTCACCAGAGGCTGTCATCCGACCCCCACAAGTGTGCAGTGGCACCCTTGCATTCTTACACACACACACACACAGAAGAATTTTTTTTCTTTTTTTTAATTTATTTATTTATTTATTAAAGATTTCTGTCTCTTCCCCACCGCCGCCTCCCCTTTCCCTCCCCCTCCCCCAATCAAGTCCCCCTCCCTCGTCAGCCCAAAAAGCAATCAGGGTTCTCTGCCCTGTGGGAAGTCCAAGGACCACCCACCTCCATCCAGGTCTAGTAAGGTGAGCATCCATGAAACTGCCTAGGCTCCCACGAAACCAATAGGTGCAGTAGGATCAAAAACCCATTGCCATTGTTCTTGGGGTCTCAGTAGTCCTTGTCCGCTATGTTCAGTGAGACCGGTTTTGACCCAGGCTTTTTCAGACCCAGGCCAGCTGGCCTTGGTGAGTTCCTGATAGAACATCCCCACACAGAAGAATTTTTTAATGGAACAAAACCCCCTAGTGTTAATGACATATAAATGTAAATGTTCATTTCTCTCACACGTGTAAGGCTTGGTTAGAGGGTAACATGTAGATTGGCATTCAACCAGGGATTTTTCCTTGAATCTTACAATTTTTTTTAGATCAGTAGCTGACCCAGAATGTTCCTCTGCTGACAATGATAGAGAAACATGGCGCCATAGAGTATTCCATTTTTTAAAAAAAAGTTTAAGATTTATTTTTGTTTAATGTGTATTGGTACTGAGATCTTGTTGGTTCTGCCCACATTCCACTTTGCCCATGGAGTAGAGATGTATTCTCTTCTTGCAGGAGGGACTACAAACTGGCGGATGAAAGGACATTGATACAGGGAGGGCTGAAGATTTAGAGTGAGTAGTTCCCTTCTTACCGAAGCTCACAAGGCTCAGGTGCTCCAGGCACGGTGAGCGTCTGTATGGAGCCCTCCGAGGAGTCCCCAGAGGGGACAGGCAGTCCAGGTATGGTGAACATCTGTATAGAGCCCTCCGAGGAAGCTGCAGAGGGGACAGGCAGTCTGAGGTTTTTCAGAGACAGAGAGAGAGAGAGAGAGACACTAAAGAGTGATCCACAGCGTTTAAAAACAACTGTTGGGGGGCTGGAGAGATGGCTCAGAGGTTAAGAGCATTGCCTGCTCTTCCAAAGGTCCTGAGTTCAATTCCCAGCAACCACATGGTGGCTCACAACCATCTGTAGAGGGGCCTGGTGCCCTCTTCTGGCCTGCAGGCATACACACAGACAGAATATTGTATACATAATAAATATTAAAAAAAAATAAAAACAACTGTTGCCTCAGCTTTAAAATGTGCTCCAGAAGCACAAGAGAATGAAAAACTTTAAAGAAAAGGGAAATATATTTAAAAAAAAAAAACTTAAGTTGATATAACAAGCAATGGTTTTGTGTGGGTTTTTTTGTTTTGTTTTGTTTGCTTTTCAAGACAGGGTTTCTCTGTGTAACAACCCTGCTTGTCCTGCACTCTTTGACCAGGCTGGCCTTGAACTCGCAGAGATCTGCCTGTCTCTGCCTCCCAAGTGCTGGGGTTAAAGGCGTGTGCCATCACTGCCCGGCAAGTAATAGTTTTAGTGATGGTATTTTCATACATTCGTGTCTTTATACTTCATTCAAACTGATCCACTTCCCCCCCATCTCTTTCTTTCTCTTTGGAAATTTTGTTTTGTGTTTACTTTGAGACAAGATCTCACTACATAACCCTAACTGTGTGGGAGTTCACCATGTAGCTCAGGCTGGCCAAGAACTCACCATGTAGCTCAGATTGCCCTCAAGCTTGTAGGATCCCGATCTCTCTCTCCTGGGTGCCGAAATCAGCAAGCGTTGTTACTTCTGGCCTTCCGCACTGGCACGCCTGTGAAAGCATTAAACGAGCCAACAGAAGCGATGGCCAATATCAGCAGCCGTGCAATTATTTATGAGTCAGAGGCAAACAGTTCGAACAGATGGGGAAAGTTCAAAGTGCTTTGCTTTTCCAGGCATCCTCTCCTTCAAGACATAGAGTCTTCACTGCTGTTTTCGGCCCAGCCCCTCTGGCCCACAGAGAGCAGGGATTCTGCCGTTTATTTTTGACTGGCACCTCTTTCTCCCCATTCCCCACGTGTCTGTAGTGGTTTGGGCAGGAGACTCAACAGAAGCCCCCGACTAGACACCTCCTTCCCTGGGGCGCTGTCGGCAGGCGCTCTGTGAGGACCCAGGGTGTTTGCTGTAGCCCTCACTTCTCTGTGACACGGAGCACTTGCTACCAAGTGTGGGTGACTTCTTCAAGGGTACAATCCGGGGCTTCGCCCGGAAACTGTGAATCCATACACTCTCCACCACTAGGTCCTAAGAAAGTACAGGCTTAAGGAATTCACGCAGCCAAAACGATTTCAGGGGCTGGAAAGATGACTCAATAGTTAAGAGCACCGATTGCTCTTCTAGAGGACCCGGGTTCAATTCCCAGCACTCACATGGCTGCCAAGAGCCTTATGTAACTCCAGTTCCAGGGGATCTGACACTTTCTTCTGATACTGCCTGAACATGGGATGCAGACATACATGCAGGCAAAACACTCATACATCAAATAAAAATAAATTTAAAAAAATGATTCCTTCACTGGGAATAGTGTGCCTGCCTATAATCCCAGCCCTCATGGTGTTGGGGCAGGAGGATAGTGAGTTTGAGGCCAGTCTGATCCCCATAGTGCAATCTTGTCTCAAAAAGCCAAAATAAGGGAGGCTGGAGAGATGGCTCAGAGGTTAAGAGCATTGCCTGCTCTTCCAAAGGTCCTGAGTTCAATTCCCAGCAACCACATGGTGGCTCACAACCATCTGTAATGAGGTCTGGTGCCCTCTTCTGGCCTGCAGGCATATACACAGACAGAATATTGTATACATAATAAATAAATAAATAAATAAATAAATAAATAAATAAATAAACAAACAAACCAAAATAAGATAAAAATAGATTTCTTATATTAGAGCTGGCAGAAACATAACTCAAACCAGGGACGACCAGACTTCTGACAAGGCTGTGTGTCCAGGGACGACCAGACTTCTGACAAGGCTGTGTGTCCAGGGACGACCAGACTTCTGACAAGGCTGTGTGTCCAGGTGTGACCAGACTTCTGACGAGGCTGTGTGTCCAGGGACAACCAGATTTCTGACGAGGCTGTGTGTCCAGGGACAACCAGACTTCTGACGAGGCTGTGTGTCCAGGGACAACCAGACTTCTGACAAGGCTGTGTGTCCAGGTGTGACCAGACTTCTGACGAGGCTGTGTGTCCAGGGACAACCAGACTTCTGATGAGGCTGTGTGTCCAGGTTTCAACAGTGTCATCACGGCTTCTCTTTCTATCCATTGTTATCTCCTCTGGATTGCAGTTTCCAACAGGCTGGCCTTCTCTCATGGTGGCAGGTTGCCAGGATCTTGAGCATCTTCAGCACCTCAGAGAAACCAGAACTTCTTTGTTCTCAGTGCGTGAGTGAAACCAAATGAGAATGGGAGCGGAGCATCCAGGTGCACGCCTTTAATCCCAGCACTCGGGAGGCAGAGGCAGGAGGATCTCTGTGAGTTTGAAACCAGCCTGGTCTACAAAGCAAATGCCAGGCCACCTGGGAAATACACTGTGAGACCCTGTCTCAAAACACAACAAGAAAAAAAATGAAAAAAAAGAAAGAAAGAAAGAGCTTCAGAGATGGCAAAGTGGTAAAGAGCACTGGTCACTCTCAGAGGACCCGGGTGGGATCCCCAGCACCCACAGGGCAGCTCGCACCCACCTGTAACTTCAGTCTTGTAGGCTCTAATGCTCTCTTCTGGCTTTTTCAGACTTCGGGCACACAAGTGGTTCACAAATGTAGGCAAAATACTCATATACATAAAACTAAAATTAAAGGAGAAGCAAATGGAACTCCTTTGGCTCCTCACTGAATCACTGAAGCCAGAGGTGGAATACTTGAGCCCACTCTGAGAAGCAAAATTTGAGAGCTGAGTGATAGTGGCCCCACACCTTTAATCCCAGCACTCAGGAGGAAGAGGCAGGCGGATCTCTATGTGTTTGAGGTCAGCCTGGTCTACTGAATGAGTTCCAGGATAGCCAGGGCTACACAGTGAAACTGTGTTAAAAAAAACAATTTTTTTTAGAAGAAATACATAGTCAAGAAGTCATTATCATCCCTCTTGTTCTTGTAAACAAAGCCTCGCATATAACCCAGGTAAGTCTCAACCGCACACGCACGCTCTTCCCGAGTAACTGAGTCACAGGCAGACGCCACGGCCTGGCTCCACTGTGGGCTTTTCAGTTTCTTTACAGAAAAGTATCTCCCTGTGGGGCAGAAATGAAGCCACCATACCTCTGTCCTATGCTTCCTTGGTGACAGACCCTCTACCTGGTCTCACGGAACCCTTCCAACCACCTCTCAAGGCAGTGGCTTTGCTCAACCATTTGTTTTTTTACAAATGAAACAACTGGGACCTCCAGAGGTGGAGGGCTCAGCTGAGGCTTCACGTAGCTGAGGAAGTGCTGTGGAAAGGTGTATACAGACCAAGGAAGAAGGACGCTGACCCCAGTCAACTTCCTTTGTGTGACAAGCTCCCACGTCCCCTAGCACCACATCCTCCTCCTCAGCTCACCCAGCTGCAGCCCCTCCACCTCCTCCAGGCCTCTCTTCTCTTATCGCTGTGGTTCTACCAGGCTCCGCCACTCCTCTCCCCCGACCTTTGCCCCAAGCTCCAGGCTATTTTGCTCTGGACCCTGGCACTTCCCGCTCACTCTCACTTGCATCTGCCTTTCCTGAAGCCACTGCCATGTGTACCGGACAATGTGCTCGCTGCCTGGGGCTCTCCCTCATCCCTCTCTCCCTGATCTGCATCATAGCCAATGCCCTCCTGCTGGTACCTAATGGAGAGACCACCTGGACCGACAACCTCAGCTTGCAAGTCTGGCTCATGGGTGGCTTCATTGGAGGAGGCCTGATGGTGAGAATGCTGGAGCTTTGGCCAGGGACCTGGGTCACCTGACCTGGGACAGTGGACGGGACAGAGAGGAAAGGAGGGGAAAGGACCAGTTTGCTCTGGAGGGTGTAGCAAGGGCTTGGTGGGGACGGTGGACCTGTCCATCCACTCACACACCCTAACTGTTCTGTAGAAGGTCTTGGAGGAGCTCTAGGGTCCTGAGCTGAGTGTCTGAGGTGAGCGAGATGAAGAAGTCCCTACTAGGTGGGAGGTGGGAGGTGGGAGCAAGTTCTAGGCGTCGTTCTCCTGCCCTCCAGGAGCACAGGCTGAGAAAATGATGAGGGTAGAAGCCAAAGGAACAGCTGGTTGTGTGGGTGGTTATGGGGCAGTGCCATAACTAGTGAGAGTGGGTGCAATGGACAACCTCAGTCCGCGCTGATGGCTCAGATCAGTCCCTCCACCTGCCAGCTCTCTGCTGCTCTCCCGCTCCTCCTGGCCGCTCCTCCTGGGCCCCCCTTCCAGGACCCCCAGTCTGGGCTAAGGATAACAACCTGGGCCTAGGTCAGCATTTCAGAGTAGATGCCCCAGTCTTCCTGCAGACTCAGATCTATTCACGGTGAAAGAAGAGCGAGGCATGGTGGTGCACACCTTTAGTCCCAGCACTCCAGAGTGGCAGAAGCAAGTGGATCTCCGAGTTTGAAGCTAGTCTGCTCTACTGAGCAAATTTCAGGACAGCCAGGGTTACACAGAAAAGTATTGTCTTGAAAAAAATGAGAACCAAAGGGGGGGGCGAGGGAATGAGAGAGACAAATATTCTAGATTTTTCTCCCATCTTCCAACTCCCCCCATTTAAGGAAGTTTCTTTTTCATTTTTTTTTTTACTTTTTGTTTGTTTGTTTCTTTATTTAGAAGCAACATCCTGATTGTACTTCAGGCTAGCCTAGAACTCACTACATAACCTAGGCCACTCTAGAACTCGAAACCTTCCTACCTCAGCCGCTCAAGTCCAGGGGTGTGCTACAATGCCTGGCCACTGGGTGAACTTTCGGATGGTTAACCCAGTGTATCACCTTCCTGGGTTAAAGACAAAGATCTCCCTAGCACAGCTTCCCATCTTCAGCACAGCTGGCTGTTAAAATTCTCTTTGCACTTTGGTCCCCTCTGCTGGCCACATCTTTATTAGCCGAATGGAGCTATCTCTCTGATAGCAGCCCTCTCGCCTTGCCCTCTGGTATCACTCAGCTCTACCCCCTGCTTCTGGTGGTTGGTTGGACTCCACTCGAATGCTCTCTCAGCTCTCTCGCTCCTCTTAGGCCCACACTCTCACCCAGAGTCACATCAAGGATGTCTCCAGCCTAAAGCACCTGATTCACCTACCCAGTCGAGCTTGCCTGCTTCCGTAGATCTGTTCAGGTTGAGCTCCCAACGTCCTCCTTCCCAGCAGCCTCTCATGAAGGACCTTATCATGCCCTTCTAATGGCTGTGTTGTGTTGACGGGGCAAAAGGTGCCGAGGAAGCAAGAAGCCCCATGAGAGCAAGGTCTGCCTCCCTTTTGAGGTGTCTGGTTTATACTCGCTGGATAAATGAAGCAAATAAATGGCAAGATGACGTGGGGCGTGGCAGCCACTCCTGCAAGGCCAGCACTCTAGCAACCGAGGCAGAAAAGTAGAGAGTTTGTGGCAGGCACGCACGCACACACATACACACAATCAGGGACCATCGCAAAGAGCTCTTAGGGCACGTGAGGTACTTGTTTTGTCTTCTTTTCTCCTTTCTATTTGATATTATAGATCGACCCTACCAAGACCTTGCTCTGTATCTGAGCCAATCTTCCAACCTGGGGACATATTTTGTAGAGTTTCCAAGGAAGCTTTTATGAGATGATGTCACAACTGACAGCCAGATGACATTTAAAAAAGAAAAAGAGAAAAGAAGGGCATTACATACATACATACAGACAGACAGACAGGGGCCCCACATTTAAGGCTCAACCAGCAGGCAGCCAGCAGTGCTGAAGTTGGATGGGATGAGTTCTGAGGCGGGCAGAGGTCAGATCACATACACCTTTGAAAGGCGCAGTGAGTGATTTGAACCTGTTGTAAGCGCCACTGGAAACTCTGAAGCTTTTCTCCTGTTCTGAGACAGAATCGTGGTGGGGTTATAAACATAGGCTGCCGTACCTAAGTCTCCACCTTTTTGTTATTTTATTTTATTTTAAAACTTCTAGGATCCAGGTGATGGTGACATACACCTTTAATCCCAGCACTGGGGAGGTGGAGGCAGATGGGTCTCTGAATTAGTGGCCATCCTGGTCTACAGAGCAAGTTCCAGGACAGCCTTACCTCAAGACAAAAACAACAGCAACAACAAAAACCATGTTGAATATGGGGGTATATCTTTAAATCTAGCACTCAGGAGAAGGAGGCAGGGACAGATGTATCTCTGTGAACTTAAGGCCAGCCTGGTCTACATGGTGACTTCTAGGCCAAACAGGGCCACACACCTATCATCTCAGGGAAACTTAAATGTTTTGGTTTTATTTGAGATAGAGTCTTACTCTATAAAGTAAGGCTATCCTTGAACTCACTATGTAGCCCAGGCTGGCCTTAAACACTAACCCTATAGCCATCAACCTACCTCAGTCTCCCAAGTACTGAGATTATGGGTGTAAGCCACCATGCTTAATACACAGTTTAACACACGCACGCACGCTCACACACACACACACACACTCACTCACAGTCTCTCTCAGAGCCCAGCCCAGGGCCAGCCTGATGTTCAGAGTGAGTTCCAAGCTACACAGAGAAACCTGATATCAGCAAATGATAAAAAGAAAAGATTTTTGCTAACCATAGTGGCACACACCTTTAATCCCACTTAGGAGGCAGAGGCAGGAGGATCTCTGTGAGTTCCTCTGGAAGAACAGTCAGTGTTCTTAACCATTGAGCCATCTCTCCAGCCCCTATAAAGAGCCAGATGTGATGGCTAAGGCCTGTAATTCTAGCACTTTGGAGGCTGAGGCAAAGAGAACTGTTGCAAGCTCAAGACAAGACACTCAACAAACAATTGAACAAAAATCAATAAATCAAAAAGGCAATGCTATCTGGGCATGGGGCATGACCTTTAAACCCAGCACTCAGGAGGCACAGGCAGAGGCTGCAGGATCTCTGTGAGTTCAAGGCCAGTGTGGTGGTCTAGATATCAAGTTCCAGACCAACTGGGGCTACACACTGAAACTCTATCAAAACAAAAACAAAAAACAAAACAAAAAACCTAGGTGTCTTCAAGTTGTTACGGCACAAGTGACATCACCCAACCGAAAGGCTAAGAAGAAAGGGTCAATATTGTCCTTAGAACTGTCATGAGACAGGTGACGGGAGAGAGAACTGATAAATAACAAATAAATCAGTTGAACTAACCAGGTCTTTCTCTGAGGTTCAGTTCAATTAAGCAGGTCTTTCTCTGAGGTTGCTACTAACAACGGAACTAAAACTTTCAGTCCCTTCCCTGAAGAAGAACAAAATACTGCCTCTGTAGCGTGCATGCCAGCCAAGGCTTGTTTTTGCTTGATCAAGCCATCTGTGGAGGCCAGGCCTGGTGCTGAACGCCTGTACTCTTGGTACTCAGGAGGCCGAGGCAGGAGGATCTGATGTTCAAATCCCTCCTGAATAGTGTTAGATAGTGGAAACTTTGTTGGGGGGGGGGGAGAGGATAAGAGGAGGGGAAAGAAGAGAGAAAGAAAAAAGGGGGTGTGTTGGGAGGTGAGCCAGGCATAGTGGTGTATACCCGCAATTCCAGCACTCTGGAGGAAGAGGGTCCTAAGTTAAATGCCAGCTAGACTAGAATAAAATTTAAAAGAAAAATGGGATGGAGGTGGGCCCCGTGATAGTACAGTTAGTTTCCTAGCACGCACAAGGCCCTGGGTTCAAGCCTCAGTGTTAGACAAAACACAACAAAATAGCTGTAGAATTCCACCGGTGCAAGGCCAGCCAAGCATGGGACTTGGTGGGACCAAGGTACAAAGGCGAAGGCTGTTGTGGTACATGAGGTTGGGGGCAGAGTAACGGAGTCTCAAAAGACTTGCTCTAGTCCAGGCTTTGTGAGACTTACTACGTAGCCCATGGTGGCCTGGGACTTGCTATGTAGCACAAGCTAGTCTCAGCCCTTGACCCCCATGAGTACTGGGATTTACAGGTCGGACAGCACACACACGCGCATGACTCACACACCACGCACGCACACATGCACCAGCCTAGCGTATCTTTGAAGATACCTCAAAGGACTTGAGCAGATAAGGGCAATTAAATATTTTTAAGAGGGCAATTAAATAATGTTAGTCAAGTGTTAGCTTGTGGCATGGAGTCTGGGGTGACACGGGGTAAGAGCGATTAAAATCTATTAGGAAGCAGAGAAGGGGCTGAGCGGAAAAAGATTAAGAAGCTATCGAGGAAAAGTACAGAAGACTTGGAGTCCGCCCTGGTATACGAGGATTAAAACCTTGCAGCCCTGGTGAATTGGTGGATATTGTCCACTGCTGAAGACAAGAAAGACAAAAGGCAGATGAACTGGGAGGATAGTGTGGGATAGGTATGAGGCTTCCTGAAGTTAACTCAGACATTCAAATGAGCATGTCCCTCGGGAGTTTGAGATGACTCTATGGGTACCCGGAAGTGACTATTAGCACAGGGGAACAACTGATTGGTTACCTGGAGAGTCTGTGCTTCAGAATAAAAGAGATGAGGAGAAAGTAAAAGATTAGAAGTTGATTACTAGGAAATCCTGCAATCCACACCAGAGTCTCCGTGCAAACTCTAGCACACTCGACCATGATTCCCGCTCACTGTACCCACGGAAGGTGCGCATCAGCACGGGGACCTTCTCTCTGAGCCGGTCATGACATGAAATCTTCCCGTCGTCTCCTTCAGTCCTGAGAAGAGTCTGTTGAGACAGATCTTGCAGATCCACTTCACAAGTGACAAACGGGTATCCTGAGAAAGCAATCAGTTCAGAGAGTGGGATGGAGGTCCTGCCTCCCATCCAGCAGTCACCCACCCTGCGACAATATGGATGTGGAGGATATAATATTGCCACCCCTTCACCCAAACGTTTGATGGCGACTTTTTGTCTAAGATAGGTGTAATATATTGGACCTAACCCTCCAGGAAGCTACAATCTGGAGAGAGATAAGATGGGCGTATGAATAATGATACATTAAGGTTGAGTGCAACGCTGACCCAGAGAGGTACAGATAAGGTTTTGCAGTCCAAAGAGCTGAGGGCATCGTGGGCAGCTTCGCGAGGACATGGACAAGGCAAGCACAGCCTCGGGAACCTGGGAGAACCTGCTGTCACCACCAACTCTCATCCCACAGGTGCTGTGTCCAGGAATCGCGGCGGTCCGCGCAGGGGGGAAGGGCTGCTGTGGTGCAGGTTGCTGTGGGAACCGCTGCAGGGTAAGAACCAAATTAGGACGTTTGATTTCTGACTCCTTCCCCATCGAACCCCAGCACCATCATCGGCAAACAACCTCTGTGAGGTCTCAGGTGCTACCTCACTCCCAGTCCTGGGTCTCAAATGAACCTGACCAGCAGGTCATAGCAGTCCCATGAACCTCTGCGGTAGAGGACTTTTAGGATTCGGTAGAGGACTTTTAAGATTCGCCTAGCCTCAGACCCGCAGCGCAGCGGTGGTGGTGCAGGCCTTTAATCCCAGCATTTGGGAAGCAGAGGTAGGCAGGATCTCTGTCAGTTCAAGGCCAGTCTGGTCTACAACTGGCCAAGTTCCAAGACTGATTCAAAAATATTCTAAATAAATAAATAAATAGGAAATGTAGCTTTAGGCAGCTGGACAGAAGTGCTGACATATGCGAGAGGAACTGGGCACGGGTGACCGTCCAAGGGAGGAGGGAGGCCTACTCAGTTTACCTTTTCACACTGGGTCTAGATGTTTCGCTCCGTGTTCTCCTCTGCCTTTGGGATACTTGGTGCCCTCTACTGCCTCTCGGTGTCGGGAGCGGGACTTCGAATCGGACCCAAATGCTTAGTAAACGAAGTGTGGGACTACCACTTCCTAGAAACCCAGTAAGTCCTGCTCCGTGTTTATATCCCCATTCTGTGCCTCTCCCCACCTGCCTTCCTACCTGGTCCAGAAATGATGGACCAGACCAAGCTTCTAGAAAGACCGGCCCTTCCACGTGACCCATCGAATTTTGCAAATCTTAGTAGACCCTTGCCCTGGGTGGTGGTAGGGCCTGCTGTGTGATCAGCCTCTCCTAAACGACCCTGTCCACCCACAGAGGCTCTTACTTGCGCAATGACACTCTATGGGATCTATGTGAGAAGCCGCCTAAGGTGGTGCCCTGGAACGTGACACTCTTCTCTCTGCTGGTGGTCGCCTCAAGTCTGGAAGTAGTGCTGTGTGGAATACAGCTGGTGAACGCGACCTTGGGCGTATTCTGTGGCGACTGCCGGAAGAAGGTGAGAGGGCGGGGCGTGGAGCGGAGCTGAGGGCATCCTGTTTGCTCTCACTGCATCTTTACTCTTTTTTTCTTGCAGGGCACAGCTCAGTGAGTTCCGTGGGCTCCCGCGAATACCTCATTTCTGGAAGTCTTAGTGGACTACCCACCCACCGCTTACCTGGAATAAACTACTTTTATGGCTCAGTTTCCTCCTTTGTGGTATAAGCTGGCCTGAGCACCCTTTCCCAAGTCTGCTTTAGCGTTGGAAGGAGGGCCTGCAGATGTAGCTAGACCAGTGGTTCTGTTTGTACCCGACTCCCTGCTTCTTATTTTCTTAACTAATCCCAATTCTGCTTTAGCGTTGGAAGGAGGGCCTGCAGATGTAGCTAGACCAGTGGTTCTGTTTGTACCCGACTCCCTGCTTCTTATTTTCTTAACTAATCCCAATTCTGCTTTAGCGTTGGAAGGAGGGCCTGCAGATGTAGCTAGACCAGTGGTTCTGTTTGTACCCGACTCCCTGCTTCTTATTTTCTTAACTAATAGTTATTGTTCTGGAAATAAAATACTGTGCTCTCAAGGTGCCAGTGATGAAAGATAAGCAATTTTTAATTTAATTTTCTTTACATTTATGTGTGTGTGTGCGCGCACATGTACGTCAGAGGATAATGTAGGAGTTGGAGTTGGCTCTCACACCATGTGTGTCCTGGGAATCAAACTCAGGTCCTCTGACTTGGCACCAAGCACCTTTACCAACTGAGCCCCCACTTCACTCCTTCCCACTGTTGGGTAATAGCCTCAGGTCGTGAGGTCATGAGAAATTGAGTCAGGCACACTGGGCAAGTAGCCCCAAGCCATAAAGAACAGCTTAGCCCCAGCCTGACCCTTCCACTTTACTTGCAGAAACAAAATATTCTCAGGTGAGAACAACACACCCTACTTGCGGTCAAACTACACACACACTCACACATGCACACACATGCACGCATATGCGCATGTCTATAGCGTCTGTCTGCTTCTCTTACACCAGCCATTGGCAATTTCTCCCCCCACCCATCCCCAAGACAGGGTTTCTCGGTGTAGCCCAGACTGGCCTCGAGCTCACAGAAATGGCCTGCCTCTTCCTCCCTAGTGCTGGGATTAAAGGTGTGCACCACCACACATGGCCAAACATTTCTTTTTAAAGAAGTGAAGAATTACTTCAGTTGCTGGCAAGTGTTAGGTCTCAACAGTACAGATAACTGAGAGGCCTTTTAACGTTTCAGAGTGGCTGCCAGCTTCTCTGGAGCAGTTTCTACCTCTACAGGGTGTGACTACCCACCCTAAACTTCTCCAGCCCAGGGGCTGGGCTCCCCTTCCCCAGCTCCCCTTCCCTATACAATCCAGCCATTTTGGTTACCTGCCCTTTTCCGTCTACCCTTTGCCCTCCTGGCCTCTTAGTCTGGCTCTTCACCCTCTCTTCTCCCCTCCCCACTCTTCCTGAGGCCCAGCTCAGGGGCATGCTCACTCTGGATTCTCCCAGACGTCCCTGTCTCTGGCTACGCCCTCCCTTTTATCTACAGTAAGCCTCTCCTCTACTGTCCCCAGGAGCAGTCATGCCCTTCCGTTTTCATTCAGTAAACATTTTTTTTTAAAACATGTTGATAATGAGATAAGCATTGATTGTCACAAGGAACATCCAATTCTGAATATGGACTCCCTCCAGGGAGAGTGCAGACAGAGAGAAAAACGGCATGGAAAGACAAAGTCTTTGATGACCCTCTCTGTCTAGAAAGGCCCCTATTTGGAATTTGCATGGTAAGGGCCAAGGTAGGAAGGGGCTTAGAAACTACGGGGAAAGATTCTTTAGTCTCAAAATTCTAGAAAATTAAAGTGGAAAGCCATCTGCATTGTCGTCTGATTAGTTGCACTGGCTCTATGGACACCTCCTATCCACCTGGGGACTTCCACACCTGATGCACACTCCTCCTGGACACCTCCTATCCACCTGGGGACTTCCACACCTGATTCACACTCCACCTGGACACCTCCTATCCACCTGGGGACTTCCACACCTGATGCACACCCCTCCTGGACAACTCAAACCCGGGGACTTCCACACCTGATGCACACCCCTCCTGGACAACTCAAACCTGATGCACACCCCTCCTGGACAACTCAAACCCGGGGACTTCCACACCTGATGCACACCCCTCCTGGACAACTCAAACCTGGGGACTTCCTAACCAGGAGCTACCAATAAGGAATAGATTGGGTCTAATCACCAAGTTTCCCCATGTACAGAGGTGGGGTCTTCCATCCTGCTCCTGAATCTGAAGTCACTGATGATTCAGAAGGAGACAGCTTGGGCTCTTAAAGGGAACCTAGTATCTACAAGTGTCCTCAGAAAGCCAGGGCCAAAAAAGTTATGTTTTTAAGTTCTTCATTCGGAACTATGTGACCTCCAACCCCTGAAGATAAACCTGAACACAGGTCTTAAGCTTTGCAGAGTCAAGGAAGAAGCAAGGAGGCAGCTTCTCTCGTTTCTAAATCAAGTGACAGCAAAGACCAAGACCAAGAAGCTTTAATAGTAAGAGGCACAGTACTGGCAGGGTCCAGTGGGAGAGTGGCCGGCGGCAACAGCGTCAGCTGTTACAGCAGAATATCCTGACGTCATTAAGTGCAGTGTCATCACGCGGCCCTCGAGGCTTCTGGATTTTGGTCTGCAAGCCACAGACACCTTTGACACAGGAGTCGCTCCAATCTCCATAATCTCCCCAGCTCAGCCCAGGCCCCTCCAGCTCCACACCATCTGAGCAACGGAAGCGTACGTTGTTCACCGCAGTGTTGTCCCCAGGAAATGAAAACGGCTCCACCCGAAGAGAGAATGCCACTAGGAAGTGCCTGCCGGGACACCACAGAGGCTCGCTCCATGAGCCCCAACTGCAAGAGAAGGAGACTTCTAATTGGCTCTGTGAGCACCTCCTACCCACCAGGCCCTACCAGTACCGCATAGATTGGATCTAATCGCCTGTGTTTCCCGAGTGCAGAGGGGCGGTTTCCATCCCACTCCTCTGAAACTATAACAGAGTTTACCTCGGGAAGGAGCGTCCTTTTGCTCTAGGAGAGTGCCCTTCCCATTGGGAATTGAACCTAGAGCTTTACACACACTAGATAAATACTCTATCACACTTTTTTGGGGGGAGGGGGAGAGCGGGTCCCAAATTCCCACCTTCCAGATTGGGACTCCACAACATGCGTGTTTTGCTCTGCATTCCCTCTAGTACAGTGCAGTCGGATCCCGTTCAGAGCTGTGTCATCTCCAGGAATGCCTTGAGGGGGCTCCACCTGGGTGAGGAAGAGAGAGGAAGTGAGGTTCAGTGAGGGGATTGCCATTTTCAGCTCTGCAATCCATCCTATCTCTGTCCTTTATGAGCCAGATCTGAGCCTTCACCTTGATGGAGAACCCACTGGCAAAGTATCCATCAGGACACATCTCAGGCCAGGTCCAGTCACCCCAGGTCCCGCCGTTGGTCACATCAATGATGGATGCATATCGTTCCACTCTTATATGTGCGTGTCCACAGCATGTCACCCACAGCAGCTGCAGCAGCAGCAGCAGCTTGGCTTCAGCCTGGAACTCCATCCTGCATTTACCTGTGAACCTGGCTGCTTCCATGGATTTATATCAAGCCTGTTCCTATCAGGATTTAGGTTGTAGAACTATACCAACCCTATCCTTTCACGGCTCAGATTGCGGAAGAATGACCAGGATTAAGTGGCACTCAAAACTAATCGGCTCCGGGAACCCTGAAGATCTGATTTCCAGCAGAGGCCCCCAAGAGCTAGGGAAGAAACTGCAGTGAAAGCCATTGAGTGGAAATTAGCACCTGCCAACTACTTATTATGGACCGCTAGCTGTGGCTAGTTCCTGTAATCCTTACAATGCGTGTAGAAGATAGAAATAATATCTCCTAGTTTGTAGAGGAGAGAGCTGAGTCTCAGAAATAACAAGTGACTTGTCCCCAGTAAGCAGAGGGAAATCCCAGCACTGGAAATGGAAGCCAGGGCTGGAGACTGTAGTGGTCCTGTGGAAATCTGCCGGGAACAGGGTTAGGCAGAGACAGTTCAAGGATGAGAGGCAACTTTACAGGATGTAAAAAAGCATCAGGTTAACATAGATCAAAAGTCTGTTGACACGTAGGGGGCTGGAAAAGCTCTTTTCAAGCCTGTGGTCCTGATCCTTTGAGTCTTGTTCACCAGACCTACCCAGGGAGACAGGATCCCACTCAGCAATCCAGGTTGTTCTGAAATACAATGGGTAGCTGTCTTAGGGTTTCTATTGCTGCAATGAAACGCCACGGCCAAAAAACAAATTTGAGAGGATGGATTTATTTAGTTGGCTTATACTTCCACGGAAGGAATTCAGGACAGAAAGTCAGGCGTGGCAGGAACCTGGAGGCAGGAGCTGGTGAGAGGCATGGAGGGTGCTGCTTACTGGCTTGTTCTCCATGACTTCCTCAGCCTGCTTTCTTATAGAACCCAGAACCACCAGTCCAGGCACACATGGCCCTCCTGCAACAATCACTAATTAAGAAAATGTCCTACAGCCTTGCTTTCAGTATAATCTTATGGAGACATTGTCTTCTTCTTCCTCTATTCCTCTATTCTTCTTCTCTACTTCCTCTATTTCCTATTCCTCTTACTCCACTTTCTTCCTCCTTTACTTCCTTCTCTATTTCCCCTTTCTCCTTTTCTATTTCCTCCTTTATTTCCTTCTACCTCTCTCTTCTAATTCCTTCTCCTCCTTTATTTCTTCTTCCTCCCTCTCTTTCCTTACTTCCCCCTCTTCCTCTTTACTTCCTCTTCTACTTTCTTCCTCCTCCTCTTTCTTACTTCCTCTTCTTCCTTTCTACTTCCTCTACCTCTTCTTCCTCATTTACTTCCTCTTTCTCTTCCTCTTTCTTACTTCCTCTTCTTATTCTACTTTCTTCCTCCTTCTCTTCTTCTTTCTTACTTCCTCCTCCTCTCTCTTACTTCCTCTTCTTCCTTCTCTTTCTTACTTCCTTCTTACTTCCTCTTTTTCCTCTTTATTTACTTCCTTCCTCATCCTCTTTCTTACTTCCTCTTCTACTTCCTCTTCTACATTCTTCCTCTTTACTTCCTCTTCTACTTTCTTCCTCCTCCTTTTTCTTACTTCCTCTTTACTTCCTCTTCTTCCTCCTCCTTTTTCTTACTTCCTCTTCTACTTCCTCTACTTCTACTTCCTCTTCTACCTCCTCTTTACTTCCTATTCTTCCAGAAGAGGGCACCAGACCCCATTACAGATGGTTGTGAGCCAACATGTGGGGTGCTGGGAATTGAACTCAGGACCTTTAGGAAGAGCAGGCAATGCTCTTAACCTCTGAGCCATCTCTCCAGCCGTTCGCTTCGCTTTCCAAGTCAGGGTTTCTCTGTGAAGCTTTGGAGCCTGTCTTTGAACTTCTTCTTCCTCTGTAGATCAGGCTGACCTCAACTCACAGATATCCGCCATCCTCTGCTTGCTGAGTGCTGGGATTAAAGGCCTGTGCCACCACTACCCAGCTGAGACTTTTAAAAGTTGAGATTCCCTCCTCTTTAGTTTGTTAACATAAAACACCGATGAAGGTTGCCCGAGCAAGGTTGCCTTAAGCCGACCTTCTCCACAATTTTTCTGTCTAGACCTCCCAAGTGCTCGGATTAGCAGCAGGGGGCACCATATCCAGTGAGCTGGGAATAATTCTAAGACTTTCAGAACAGGGACTGAGGTAACTGAACAAATGGGGCTGCTCTTCCTCTGCTTCTGATATTCTTTAAGATAGGGGTTACTGTGGAGCCAATACTAGCCTGGAGCTCACTATATACCCCAGGCTGGCCTGGAACTCTTGATCCTTCTGCCTCAGGCTCCTGAGTTCTGGGATTACACCCACTTTGCCCTGGTTTACTTATATTTTTTTCACTCCTTTCCTGGAATGCTTTCCCACCTATGACCAGTAGATGGACCCCTAATTCATAAAACAAGAAAACAAAACATGCTAGATTTGTCAGGGGGCAGGGACCATCTCTGATTTACTGGCCTCATTCAGACACATTGCTCTCCTTAACAAATATTTGTTTATTTATTTATAATGCATTTGACGCAAACAATATTCCAAATGCCTAAAATGACCAAGAAAAGTAAGGCACCTGACCAGGCCTAGTGACTCCAGCCTGTGTGTGATCGCAGTGGCTCCGAAAGCTTAGGATAGAAAGTTCAGAACCAACCTGAGATATGGACCAGAGTGATACACACCTTTACTCCCAGCATTCATGAAGCAGAGGCAGGCAGATCTCTGTGAGTTTAAGAACAGCCTGATATATTGAGTGAGTTCCAGGACAGTCAGGGCTATAGAGACACACTGTCTCAAGTAAATCAATAAACCAGACCCCGTCTCAAAGAGACCCTGTCTCAAAGAGACTCTGTCTCAAAGAGACCCTGTCTCAAAGAAGCAAATAAATAAAAGGAATCAACCTGCTCAATTTAGACCTTGTCTCAAAAATTAAAAGGGAAAGGGGGGAAAAGTGGGATTTGAAGATGCTACAGCTCAAGGCTAAGTGCTTCCCTGGCACACGCAAAGTCACAGGTTCAGTCTTCAGAATACACAGAGGGAGAAGGCACCTGTCTTCATCAAAGCTTGCATTCCAGTGGGGAACACAGAAGATGCTCCCAGTGCAGCTTGAGCTGTGCTACACACACACACACACACACACACTCACATGCATACATACATACACACATGTGCACACATACATACACAAACACAAACTCACATGCACACAGAGTGCAGGGGGTTGAACCTGGAGTCTTGCACACACTAGAAAGATGCTCTACCACTGAGCCAAACTCCTCACCCTTTTGATACGTTTTTTTTTTATTTTAAACTATTTTGAATGTTTTTTTCACAGAACAAAGTTTGATTTTTATTATCTTAAAAAGTTTAATATTGTTGGGCAGTGGTGGCACACGCCTTTAACCCCAGCACTCAGGAGCAGAGGCAGGCGGATCTCTGTGAGTTCGAGGCCAGCCTGGACTACAAGAACTAGTTCCAGCACAGGAACCAAAAGCTACAGAGAAACCCTGTCTAGAAAAAAAATGTTTAATATTAGTTGGGCAGTGGTGGCACACGCCTTAAATACCAGCACTCAGGAGACAGAAGTAGGATCTCAGGAAGATCTCTGTGAGATCAAGGCTAACCTGGTCTACATAGTGAGTTCCAGGACAGCCAAAACTACAGAGAGAAACCCTGTCTCAAAAAAAAAAAAAAAAAAAAAAAAAAAAAAACAAACAAAAAAGCATAATATTTACTTAGCTTTCTGACCTGTATTTGTGCCTTCAACAATGGTTTTCTGCTCCTCAATAAGGAACGTTCACTAGATCCAAGAACACATTTACCACAAGTGGAATCACCCTATACCCTGCTAGCGTTGTTGTTGCAGGAAATGTCATGAGGACTTTAGGTCTCAGAGCACAAACTCCTCAAAGTCTGCTTGGACACATACCACATATGGATTTTGGTGCCTTTCCAAGCTTCTTGGAATAAAGATCAACAATTCTGTTACCAGGAGTTCCAGATAGCATTTTTGTTAGTCTGTATTTTAGAGAGACCTATAATGGTATGTCAAATGCTGGGCCGTTGTGAGCATCTCTAAACATTGCTATTGGAGTAGGAATGGCCCTTTTCACACTTTAAAATTTTTTAAGACAGAGTGAGGATAAGTTACGCAGGCCGGCCTTGTGCTTTTATACTCCTACTTCAGCCTCCCAAATACCTAAGGTTACACGAAGGCCTGGGCTACCATGGCCAGCCGTGAAAACACTTTTATATTCTGGGGAATCTAGTATAGGGCCTGCCATGGTAGTAGAGAGTAAAGATTGTTTTAGTGAAGGAAAGTTAATGTGGAGCTTAAAAATGAAGTCATGCCAGGAGGTGGTGGCGCATGCCTTTAGACTCAGCACTCGGGAGGCAGAGGCAGGTGGAACTCTGTGAGTTCGAAACCAGCCTGGTCTACAAAGTGAGCTCCAGGACAGGCTCCTAAGCTACACAGAGAAACCCTGTCTCAAAAAAAATAAATAAATCATAAGAATGTAAAAGAAGAACGCTGCTATCACCCCCCCCAGCAAAAGTTATTGGGCAATTGGGATCAGCTTTTCCACTCACAGTGTTATTACTCGGTCCCCACTTGAGATTTACAAAGACCCATTATCCTCAGGGTCTAATGAATTTGTGCCCAGGGTTAAAGTAGGACCCATGAGAGGCTGCCTTTTATTACATGTTAGTCCCACATGTAAAGGTAACATGTCACATGCCAAATCCCCCAGATTTTCATTAGGTTCCTCAGCCAGGCTCTGACCTCTGGGTCAAAGGCCACAGGGGAGGGGGCCTTAATAGATTAATTATTAACCATCTGCACCTCTGGACACCACAGGAGGCAAAAGCCACCACCCAGCTAGGTGAGGTGTGCCAGCAAAGGTCATGGGGGTCTCACTGACATCCCCAGCCCGGGGACGCTGGTTCTGCCATGCACTTCCCTTCGCTATCCTCACGCTGTTATTTCTCTACACCAGTGTGCGACTCTTTCATGAGTGGCCTCTTGTGTTACCGGCTCAGAGAAGTCAGCAGTCCAGCCTGTGGGAACTCGAGCCCCCTTCTCCTTCTCCAGCCCTTACCGCCTTGCTTCAGATCACCTCCGGTATCCTGACAGGCTGCAGGCCCGGGGTGCAGTCCTGCAACCCGGAGGGACCGCTACCTTCCCAGGTACGTTTGAGTTAAGGCCAGAGTCTGAGGGCTCTGAACAAGAAAACAGGGCTCCCAGACTGAGAAGCTAAAGGAGGCTCCTCGCTCGTCCCCTCTCCCTTCAGATGATAAGAAGAACCAGGAGGAAACCCGGCTAAACCGGAGGGACAATTTTTTCAGAACCCAATAGTAGGCCGAGCAGGTTAGGAACTTTTCACCCATCTCTCTTATGTCTACCTCCCAGATCGGTCCAGAGTTGACAGCCCTGGTGGTCCCGGGGAAGGAAGAGCCTCCCTGTCTGGGGCCTCAAGGAGTGCTGGGTCGTATGATGAGCCCCTTCCAGGCCTGTTTGAGCTCCGAAGGGGATGTGGAGTTGTCTCAGTATCTGGCAGGATGGAGGGAACTACTCAGGTGAGTGGTCTCCCTCCCCGAAGCCGTCTTCCAAAGGATTGGTTGCTCTTTCTCAAGTCATCTCCACCTTTCCACCACCAACAGGTTCCTAACCCCGCTTGGCTCTGTTTTCGCCTTCGCCACCAGTGAAGCCTTCGTCAAGGTGACCGCCCTCGAGGCTTGTGTGCGTGGTCCAGATGCTTTGCACTACGCGTCGCTGGCTACTATGGCGACGTGGGAGCGGCAAGCAGGACTACTGGAGCTACCCGGGACCGCGCCCCGGGACCAAGCCAGGGCCTCGGGTTCTCGAACGCTGCTTTTGCTGCACCGCGCGCTGCGCTGGTCGCAGCTCTGCCTCCACAGGGTGGCGACAGGGACGCTCGGAGGTCCGGACGCGGGCGTGCAATGCGGGGACGCCTACAGCACCGCGCTGGCCGAGCACCACCCATGGCTCGTCCGCCAGGCCGCCCGCCTGGCCATCCTCGCCCTCCCGAGTCGCAGCCGCTTGCTCCAGCTGGCGTGTCCCGGAACGACCGAGGCGGACGCGCGGGTGGCCCTGGCCCGGGCCGCCCGAGTACTGGAGGACGTCTACAACCGAACCCAGAGCCTGCTGACCCGCCATGGCCTGCTCCAGCTGGCTTGATGACCGCGGTGTGAGCGGACTGACCAGAAAGGCGTTGTTGTGGGGAGGGATCTAAGCACCAAGGACCGGGCCACCTGGCTAGCCTTCCTCCTCCGTGAGGTCACCAGTTAAGGCGAGCCCCCAGCATGGTAGAGTATGTGGTGTGGGATCCTCACATCCTCAGCCTCAAGAAGCTGCAAGGAGCAATGAGGAATAAAGAATTCTTTAGTAGCTGTCGACATAGGGCGTTATGTATGATGAACTGACCGTATCTTAAGCGGGGAAATGTGGGAAGCTGTGTCTCCCCTGTTCTCTGCATCCGAACGACTCATTCCCCAGAGCCCATTTCAGCGACTCCCATGGCTTCAGTTGCCAGCCCTAAGCCAAGTCTCCAGTCCAGACCTGTCCTCTGAGCTCCACACAGCAAAGGCAAACGCAACACAGCACACCTGAGTTCCACTCTGCCTCCGCCGGAAGTCCATCTCCCTTTGTGTTCTGTCTCCAACCTACAGCCTGTGCATCACGCCTCTCACCAAAGAGGCACTCGGCTCCACACAGTGTTTATCAAAGGTCTCCTTGGTCCACACTCCCATCCTAGTGAACAAGAAAGAGTTAACCCTTTAATATACTGACTCCGGAACTGTACCTCAGATCTGCTTTTTTTTTTTTTTTTTTTTTTTTGTCTTCGAGACAGGGTTTCTCTGTAACTTTGGAGCCTGTCCTGGAACTAGCTCTTGTAGACCAGGCTGGCCTCGAACTCACAGAGATCCGCCTGCCTCTGCCTCCTGAGAGCAGGGATTAAAGGCGTGCGCCAACACCATCCAACCCAGATCTGCTCTCTTTTGAACTCTAGAATTCTGTATATTCGGCTGGCTATTCGGCGGTTCCATTTGGGTGTCAACTAGGCATCGCACACCTAATGGGTTCAGACTGAGTTTCTAATGCCTTCTTCGCATAAAATATTCCCTCCATAGTCTTCTTAGCTCCGCAAGGAATTCTATCTTTCCAGATCCTCAGACTCAAAATCTTGTTAAACTGACTTTCAGCACACCAGCATTGGATCTGTGAAAATCTCACCATTCCCCACGTTTCCTCATTTTTTTTTTTTGTCTAAATCAAATTTATGTATCACCTGAATTATTGTAAAGTACTTGAGGTGTCTGGACCCTCATCATCCACGTGAAAGCAGAGTGTGCTCCAGACAGTGGGAGCACTCCACTTTAGTCCCAGCACCATGCAGGCAGAAACAGGCTGATCTCTGTAAGTTCGAGGCCAGCCTGTTTTGCAGAGTTCCAGGATAGCCTGAGCTACGTAGTGAGGCCCTGTCTTGAGAAAAACAAACAAAAAACAGGGTGGGCATGACAACCTACTAATAACCCCAGCAGAAGGAATGTAGAGGGGGGAGGACTGGGAGTTTAAAGCCAACACAGCAAGTTGGAGGCTTACATGAGATACTATTTAAAAAAAAAAGTCAGAAAAGCTAAACTTGCAACCCCAGCTTCTTGGGAGGCTGATACAACAGTTAACAAGCATGGTGCTTGCCTGGGCTACAGACAAGTTCAAAGCTTGCTTTGGCAGTTTAGGGAGATCCTTCTTGAAAATAAAAAAAGTAAGATAGTCCTGGGGATGTCCCTTACTGTTAGAGTGCTTGCCTAGGATAAATGCACAAGGTTTGGGCTTTGAACCCAGCAACAAAAGCAAAACTAAACAAAAATCTTAGAAAGCAATGAATTGGCAAGAGGGTTTGGGGTATTACCATGGAAACACAACCAACCAACAAAAAAATGAATACACTTGACTTCACCAAAATTTAAAATTTCATCTTTTTTTCACTTTTAGTTATTTGTTGGGGGAGGGGAGGGTGCATTGGAGCCACAGTGATTGTGTGGAGGTCAGAAGACAACGTGCAGGAGTTGGTTTGCCTTCCACCGCATGGACGGGGCACCTCTGCCGACTGAGCTATGTTACTTGGCCAAAATTTTATAATCTTATAATTTTATAATCTTGCTATAATCAAGTGGTAGAAATATACCTGAAAATCATATATGTGATGTTTCTAGTAATATATGCCTTTAATCCCAGCACTCAGGAGTCAGAGGCAGGTGGGTCTCTGAGTTTGAGGTCAGCCTGATCTACAAAGTGAGTTCCAGGACAACTACACAGAGAAATCCTGTCTCGAGAAACCAAAACAGCAACAACAACAACAAAATCCTACTTGCCTGGTGAAGGTGGTGCAGGCCTTTAATCCCAGTACTCAGGAGGCAGAGGCAAGCAGATCTCTGAGTTCAAAACCAGCTGGTCTACAGAACGAGTTCTAGGATTGGTTTCAAAGCTACTAGAAAACCTTGTCTTGAAAAACAAACAAAAACAAAAACAAACAAAACAAAACACCAAGTAACTCTTTTTTTAAGTTTTTTTTTTTCTTTTTCGAGACAGGGTTTCTCTGTGGTTTTGGAGCCTGTCCTAGAACTAGCTCTTGTAGACCAGGCTGGTCTCGAACTCACAGAGATCTGCCTGCCTCTGCCTCCCAAGTGCTGGGATTAAAGGCGTGCGCCACCACTGCCAGGCCTAAAGTTTTTTTATTTTATGTTCATTGGTGTTTTGCTATGGGTGTCAGATCCCATCTCGAACTAGAATTAAAGATGGTTGCTTGCTGCTATGTGGGTACAGGGAACTGAACCAGGGTCCTCTGGAAAAGAAGCCAGTGCTCCAACTCCTAAGTATACCTTTTTTTTAAAATGAGCAAACCTTGAATAGACATTTGCTCCAAGAAGATACACAAATAGCTCACTAGCCATAGAAATGTGCTTAACTAATAATTATTCGGGAAAAAAAATCAAAATCACAAGCTCACATGCACTAGAATAGCTATGATTAAAAAAACATAAGACAGACAGACAGAAAGATGGAATGGACGGACAGACAGACAGACGATAGATGAATGGAGGAAGAGAGAGAGAGAGGATACCGGTGCTATCGCATGAAGGTGGATACGGCAGGAGTGGTTGTCAAGTGTACAGATGCTCCAGAAAACAATTCTAGCTTCTTCAAAAGACCCAGAAAATCAGCTCCGAGCGTGCACTGCTAAGTTTGTACTCAAGAGGAATGAAAACATGCCCCAACGATTACAAATGATACTCTCTCTCGTGGGCTCTTTTAACCAGGACACAATCAGGTTCTAGCATGTCCAGCCTTTGGACACTGCACACAAATCTCTGAAGTTGGGCCTCAGTTACAACTGTCTTTAGCCTGGGGCGCCAGCAGGTCCCTGGTTGGGCGCGTCTGTAAGAGGTCCCGCCCCCGCCTCCCCTCCCTGTACCCACCCCCTTTTTTGTAATTTGACACGCTGCCGTAAGTGTTCACGGTCGCACACGGCCGGTCCGTAAGCGCCTTATGTTCCCTTCCGCCGTCCCTCAGCCTCGCTTCCCGCCCAGAAGGCCGCGGAGCGGTACTTAAGAGAGTGACGGAGCGCTTTACGACAGTTGCTTGGTGGCAGCAGTAGAAGGGGAAGATGGCGGCCGCCTTAGCTCTTCGCGGCGGGGGCTCTGCACCGGCTTTTGGGCCGGAGGCTCTCACCCCAGACTGGGAAAACCGGGAAGTCTCCACAGGGGTGAGGAGAGAGTCGGAGTTAAAACGCCTGACTCGAGGGAAAGCTTCGTGCGTTGGAGAGGGCAGTGTTGTCTTGCGAGATGGAGAAGGGTTTTTTGGATGCTGGAGTGGGGTGGTACCTTTCGTGGTGAGAGGGGAACGGTGGACCGAGCGTACGATTCTAGATCCTGGGGTTTGAGGATTGGGTTTTTTATATTTGAGGCGTTAAGCCCTCATAAGATTTTATAATGGGTCCGCGGGGCACGAATTTTGTATTATAGAATCCGGGTGAGGAGTCACTGAGGTTAGTGAATCTCGAGAAGGCGGCAAGGCTCAGCTTCACCCTTCTTACGCTTTTCTTTTTCCCAGACCACGATCATGGCTGTGCAATTTGATGGGGGCGTGGTCCTAGGCGCCGACTCTAGAACAACCACTGGGTGAGCTCAAAACAGAAAAAGTCTTCTGTGTCCCCCACCCCATCATATACCCCACCGGTCCGTCCTTACCGTCCTCAGACCACTGTGGGAAGAGACGTTTCTCCTCTACCGGGAGATAAAGATTTGTTCTCAATTCTGCTGCTTCCAGTTTCCTGCACCTTTTGGTAAAATAGGAGGTCTGGCCCCCAATCACCCTATTTTATTTCCAGAAGAACTGACGGGTACTACCAGGATTTCTCCCTGCAGCTGGAGGGAGGCAGGGGGCCTTCTCACTGTTCCGCCATCCCTCAGGTCCTACATCGCCAACCGAGTGACTGACAAGCTGACCCCTATCCATGACCATATCTTCTGCTGCCGCTCGGGCTCAGCAGCTGATACCCAGGCCGTAGCCGATGCCGTCACTTACCAGCTTGGTTTCCACAGGTGCTTGTGGGCAGGGGAGGAACAAACATCCTAAGGGATCTGGAACATAGGGCACCCAGAGGCCTGCCTCCAGGTTCTGACACTGCCTCCTCTGTGACCTTCCGACCCCACCTTCTAGTATCGAGCTGAATGAGCCTCCACTAGTACACACAGCCGCCAGTCTCTTTAAGGAGATGTGTTACCGCTACCGAGAGGACCTGATGGCGGGGATCATCGTTGCAGGCTGGGACCCTCAAGAAGGAGGGCAGGTCAGATCCTTCCGCCAGAGCACTGGAGTCACACCTTCGGTGCTCCACGCTCCTCAGCCATTCCGTGTGTCTGTCTGTCCGTCCAACCGTCCTGTTCATATATTCCTGTGGGTGCCTGCATGTAGATGCAGAGGCCTTTGTGTGGAGGCGGGGGGGGGGGGGGGGGGGGGGGGGGGGGGGGGGGGGGGGGGGGGGGGGGGGGGTGTCAGGGGTATGCTGGGAAGGTCTTCTAGTCTCTCCACTTCACACTGAACACAGAGCTCACCTTATAGCCAGGCTGCCTAGCCAGTGAGCCCTACAGCTCTTCCCCTCTGCCCCTTCTCCCACTGAAAGGACAGACATGCCTGCCTTTTACATATGCCAGAGATTTAAATCAGATACTCTTGCTTGCCCAGCAGGCACTTTGCCAGCCATTTTTTGCTTTCTCTTTCTGTCTCTACCTTGCCATAAACTTTCTCCAAACCAAAATAAAAAGGGGCAGGTGAATGCACATGTGTGGGGTACAACTGATGGCTTTTCTCCTCCCTCCCTCGGGCAGGTATACTCAGTTCCCATGGGGGGTATGATGGTAAGGCAGTCCTTTGCCATTGGAGGCTCTGGGAGCTCATATATCTACGGCTACGTTGATGCTACCTACCGGGAAGGCATGACCAAGGACGAATGTCTGCAGTTCACTGCCAATGGTGAGAATTTGGGCTTCTAGGCCTGTGGACCTCAGCCCTCATTACCCAAGCCATGCCAAGATTCCTTATTCCTTGGCATATTCTCAGCACCTAACTCCAAACCCATTTCCTCCTTTTATCTACAGCTCTCGCTCTGGCCATGGAACGGGATGGCTCCAGCGGAGGAGTGATCCGCTTGGCAGCCATTCAAGAATCTGGGGTAGAGCGGCAGGTCCTTTTGGGAGACCAGATACCCAAATTCACCATTGCTACTTTACCACCTCCCTGAATCCTAGTGTGCTAGGGTATAAGAGATATTCATACTGATGCAAAAGTTAATAAACAGTTTTGCAAAGAGATGTTTCTGTTTTGGGGTTCTTTTCTTGACTTCAGTCTTGAACTTGGTTGCTCCATTCTTTTGTGAAAACTGTCCTGAGGTTGGTGGGAACTAGAGAAGTGATGAGGGAGGTTTATAAACGCTCTGTTCTTCTATTATGATGATGATGATGATTGAATTATTTTTGATTGGTTAGGTTAATTCTTGATTTTTATGTGCATTGGTGTTTTTATCTGCATGTATATTTGTATGAGAGTGTCGGGTCCTCTGCAACTAGAGTTACAGACAGTTGTGAGCTGCCATGTGGGTGCTGGGAATTGAACCCTGGTCTTCTGAAAGAGCAATCACTGCTCTTAACTGGTGAACCATCTCTCCAACTCCTTTGTTTTTCTTTTTTGAGACTAGATCTTTCATAGCTCAGGCTGGCCTTGAGCTTGTGGTAATCCTCCTGCCTTTGCTTTTTGAGTGCCCAGTTCACCGATGTGTACCAATATATCTGGTCAGGAGTGGTTTCTGAATCTTTTTCTGTAGATCATATTTACTCTGCATACCCAGGTACCCGAGCCACCAGAATGTGGTTGATATTGGGGCTGAAGCAGTGTCTTAAGTTCAACTTAGACTGCAGTCACCTCCCCTGCTGCAGATATCATGGTGACTGCTGACCTGGAGGCTAAACTCTCCTCCCCCCCCCCCCCCCCCCCCCCCCCCCCCCCCCCCCCCCCNCCCCCCCCCCCCCCCCCCCCCCCCCGCTAGCCTCTTGGTCTCTCTTTCCCTCGTCACTTAATCTTCACACAGCAATGTGACTTCTTTGTCTTTGGGGAAAGAGGTGGGCCTTGTCTACAAGTGGAAATTAAGGTGGATGCTAGCTGGCAGCCATAAGGAGTGCGTTTGGCCATTTTTGTAAGCCACTGTCCTCTTGAAGCTGAGAATGGGCTAAGTCCCTTTAGAGCTGTCCCTGTTCAAACCAAGGACCTAAGGGAACTCAGGTGCTCAGTGGCCCTATCTTTCCAGTCTTACTTTCTCTAGTCCATTGATCAGGGAACCATAGGAGCCGCATTTACAGAGCCTGTTATGGAATAGTTCAGAGGGTAGGAAAGATGGTTCCTATGGAATCTCTCATCCCTAAGGAAGGGGAGAGGAAGACAAAATACCCTAATGAGCAAATTGGGGAAGGTTGATTACAGCACAGTCTGAGATTATCACGGCAGAGAGGACACGGTGGCAGTGTGAAGCCACTGGTTACCCTGTACCCATGAGCAGGAAGCAGTGCCACATGACTGTTTATTTATTCTGGGACTCCAGCCCATGGAATGGTACAACCTACATTTAGGATGGCTCTCTCCACCTCCGTTAACCTAACCTAGAAACTCCGCCAAGATACGCCCAGGGGTTTATTTTCCATGAAGTTAACAATATAAACCACCACAAGCGGTAAGGGCCTAATTAAGTGAAAAGAGCAGAAAAGGGATCTCTGACTCTAAACATTTAACTAAAAATACTTTAGATTTTCATGCCCATACCTGTTCTCCCTAAGCTCTCTCTCTTGAACTTAACAGTTCAGCTCTGAAAAATTTCTGAGAGTATATAGCCATCTCCAAGTCCCTGCCCTCATCTGGGCCTGCCCTTACGTGATCCTTTAGATGTTTGTAATTATGAGCCCGCGTTGCTTCTCTGGCACAGCTCTCAGGATCAGGCCAGGTGCAGAACTCGCCTTTAATACTAGGCGGAAGCAGGTGGTTCTGAGTTTGGGGCCAGCCTGGGCTACCCAGTGAGCCCCCCGGCCCGTTCTCACATTACCCTGTTTAATTTTCCTCCTAATTGCTATCTCCTGCGAGCCTGCTTGCTTTTTGTTATCTACTGTCCATACTAGAAAGTCAACTCATGAAAAAAAGGAATTCTTCCTGATGCATTGACAAGTCATCGTCACTGGCTAGCAGGAGTAGATACTACATTCTTTAAAGGATATTCTAATTTATTCTTTGACAGTTTCATACATTTATACAATATATCTTGATCATACCCACTCCCCATTGCTCCTTTTGGACCCTCCCCCCACATGTCCCTCTTCCATTTTCATGTAATATATGGCTATATCTATCTAGACAGACACACAGACACAGGCAGGCAGGCAGGCAGGTAGATAGGTAGGTAGGTAGGTAGGTAGATAGTGCATCCAGTTAGTGTTGCCTGGATGCACATGCGCATGGGGCCATCCACTGGAGCATGGGTAGCATACCAGGGACCTCACCCCAAAGAAAATTGACTCCCTAGCAACCAACAATTGCTAGTAGCTCCTCAGCTAGGAGTGGGGACTCTGAGCGCCTCTTAGACCATTCTTGCTGGAATTTTAACTGACTTGATCTTGTTCAACTTCTCTGGGTTTATGAGTTCAAAGACCATGGTGCCAAAAGCGTTTCTCAGCATTTCTTCCCATTCTCTATCTCTTAGATTCTTTTCCCTCCTCCTTCTAAGTTAAGACTTTTAAAGGTTTTATTTAATGTGTGTGTGTGTGTATTCACGCGCGTGCACACACATTCATGCCGCAGCACACGTGGAAGTCTGAGGAAAACTTTCTGGAATTGATTCTCTTTACCTTGTTAAGGCAAGGTCTAATTTGTTTCTTCCTATGCTTCGTACAGTCTTCACCTCCCATCTCTCCAGGAGTGCTGGAATTACAGCTGTACTTTGGGTACCTGGGTTTTTACAAGGGTCGCAGTGATCAAACCCAGGTCTTCAGACTTTATGCAGCAATGCGTCTTTACCCACTGAGTCACCTCCCAACACTAGATAATAAACTCTTAGCTGGGTCGTGGTGGCACATGCCTTTAATCTTGGTACTTGGGAGACAGAGACAGGCAGATCTCTGTGAGTTTAGGGCCAGCCTGGTCTACAGAGTGAGGTCCAGGACAGCCAAGGCTACACAGAGAAACCCTGTCTCAAAAAACAAAATTTAATTCTGTTTCCTGTCTTGTCCAGGCCCCAACTTCCCCTTTTGACACATTCAACTCCAAAGCCTGATTTCAGCAAACATTTTTTTTCTTTCCAAGACAGGTTTCTCTGTGTACCAGCCTTAGCTGTCCTGGAACTAGTTTTGTAGACCAGGCTGGCCTCAAACTCACAGACATTTGCCTGCCTCTGCCTCCTAAGAGCTGGGATTAAAGACAAGCGCCACCACCACCCGGCTTTTTCTATTTTTATTTTTTTTTATTTGGGGGGGTGTGGTTCAGCAAACTTAACTTTCCTATTAGTTATACTTGGGATCTACCTTGGATCCAGCATTCCCCTTTGATCATCCACTTCTGTCTCAGACTTGTAACCCAGACCTAGTCCATTTCCAGTCACCCTCACCAACACTCAACACACTTGGCGACTCTGAACAAATTTAATGAGGTCATGGCAGACTTGGGACCACTGAGAAATGTGGTGACAGAAGGTTGCTAAGACTTCCTGGAGTAAAGTTCACCCCCTGCCCCCGGTTGTCCCTTTCAGATGGTAGAGTCATTGGCTGATGCCACGTCATGCAGCTGGTGCCGGAAGGAGAGTCGAGCTTTCCGGCTTAAGTAGGCACCAGCCCCTGGGGAGGACAGTCCCCCGGTCACAATGGGGGCTACAGCTGGGCTGGGCTCTGGAGGGGATGCAGGTTCCAGGCCTAAAGGGGGAAATCAGAAGAGGAAGAAGGGTTGGAGGGGGAAGGTCAGGGTTCAGCTCCCCTAGAATAAGGCTCTAGAAGAGAGTGAGGGATGTTGGTGGCAGCACCATTCCCCGGGATGTGGTCTGAGCTGTAGAGAGACAACCTTCCAAATCCCTCTGCAGCTCAAAGGCACCCCAGTGCTTGAGGCGGTGATCTGCTGTCACCATCTTGAAATCCTTAGACTTTTAGCACAAGCTTCCATCTTTCCATTTTGCAGTAGTCTCTGCAAAATCTTCAGGTGGCCCTGAGGAGACACGAGAAATCCGCTTCCCACCTAGGCAGCAGGATCCTTTCCCTCCCCTGGTCTTAGGGTTTATCTCCCCCCCCCCCATTCATGCCAGTCTGCCCTTTTCCCCCCGTCGACCCCCATACCTGTCCCTCTTTCAGTCCCCCGCTGTCTCCGGCACCCACACCATGGGAAACACCAAGCCCCCTTCAGACCCATCTCAATACTGGAGACTGGGACGTTGGGAAGGGCCAGGAGGGCCCCAGGGAGAGGGGTGTGGTTTTCAAGTCCCCCCATCGTGGGCAAAACTACCACTTAGCTTCAGACCGCCTGGTGATTATAGGCGCCAGGAGATAGAAGGGAGGGAGAAGGCGGGGAGGAAGAGTGGGGGACTACCCCCACTCAAATACTTGTATCTGCTGCCCTCTTGATTTAGGGACTCTTATCCCCAGGCAAAAAGATGTTGGGAGGGATTTCATGACAGAGCAGGCAGAAGGGTGCCGTGACAGTGAAAATTCAGTAGAGCAGCACCTCTTAGCTGGGGGTCAGGCTGGACACTGCTGGCAATGGGGATCTGTTTTGTTTTGAATTTTTGGTAACAGGGCCCAGGGCCTCCTGTATGTTGGGTGGGGGCTTTATCACTAAGCTATCCATCCCCTCCCTATTCCCTTTTCTTTGCCTTTTAAATTTTATTTTAGGATGCAAATTCAAAGTGCCCAAGGCATACAAATTTAAAGAATTGTAAGTTTTTGACATGAGAAACTTTATCCAGAAAAAGAAATGTGTTCTCACTAAGTGGTCTGCTAACTCTTTGTGTTTGTTTTGGTTTTGAGACCGAGTCTCACAATGTGACTCAGACTAACCTGGAACCCCCGGTGGTGATTCTCCTGCCTCAGCCTCTCAGTGAGAGGATCACAGGCCTACACTGCCCTGCTGGTCCGGTGGCTTGTCCCTGTTTGTCACGTGTTGCTATTGTTTTACAGTGTGGATCTCACAGTGTTGGCCAAGGTTATCTCAACAAGAGGTGACTGCGCTGCCACAGGGATCTGAGGTGCTGTTACCATCCTGATTTCACAGGTGAGGAAGGGGTCACTAAGAGGTAGGTAACTTGCCCAAGGTCAATCATCCAGGCAGTGACCCAGAGCTGGATAGCTGCCTCTTCAAAGTCTGTCTGACTCCAGCTGGGATGTGTGTCACTCCAGCACTGATGTCCTTAGCTAGACTCAGGCTGGAACCTCTGGTCCTGAGCACCATTACCAAGTGCCTCCGCAGAGCCGCTCGCACACTGCACCATCGTTCCCGGAGGAATGTTGGGAAGCTCTGCTGGCTGCACTGTACTTAAAAGTCTAGTGGGCTTTGTTGGTTTGCTTCTTAAGATTTGCAGTGCTGGGGTTGAAGCCCAGAGTCTCATATGTGCTTGGAAAGCTAGACCACTGAGCAAAGACCCAGTAATGGGGGAGGGGGTGATGTGTTATTTTGTTTGTTTGTTTTCTGAGAGAGTTGCATGTAGCCTTGAACTCCTGCTATGCTGCCTCTGTCTCTCTATTCTTATTCTTATTTTTTTAGATTTATTGTTTTAGTATGTATACAGTATTCTGCCTGCACTTTTGCTTTTGTGCCAGAAGAGGGCACCAGATCACATTACAGATGATTGTGAGCTGCCATGTAGTGACTGGGAATTGAACTCAGGACCTCTGGAAGAGCAGCCAGTGCTTTTAACCTGTGAGCCATCTCCCCAGCCCCATGCCTCTGTCTCTCAGGTGCTGCTTTATAGGTGAGGGCTATCACACTTGGGGTTTGTTTTCTGGTAACTGAGTTGGCAGGGGTGGTGCACCCCTGAAATTTAGTGGCACTCAGACTGAAGCAGGAGGATGCTCCTCCAAGTCCAGCATGGGCTACACGGTGAGACCTTCCTGCTGCCCCCTAAAAAAAGAACCTCGTGGAAACGAAATGTGCTCATTAATTCTTCTGTCAGCGTGTCACAAGTTAGAGTCACCTGGGCAGAAGGAACTGTTATGGTTTTGGTCCCTTTAAGAGACAAGCCACGCCCACTCCCTCCCCCATCCGCTGAGGCAGGCTGATCTTCAGCTTCCAGCCTGAGCTTGCTCTCTTTTTCATATTCCTCTCAGAGAGGCAGCTTCACTTCTGCCTCTCTCCCCACTTCTCTGCTTCCCCCCTTCTCTGTCTCTTTCTCCTCTTCTCTCTCTCTCTCTCTCTCTCTCTCTCTCTCTCTCTCTCTCTCTCTCTCTCTCCCCCCCCCTCNCTCTCTCTCTCTCTCTCTCTCTCTCTCTCTCTCTCTCTCTCTCTCTCTCTCTCCCTCTCTCTCTGTCCCCCCTTCACCCTTCCTCCTCCATAACCTCCTGAATAAACATTCAACCTCACCCTGCATGTCGTGTCTATCCATGTGTCTGTCTTCTGCCCGCCGGCCATGTGTCTCCCTGCCTGGGACCAGCCATTGCTCAGGGACCAGCAGCCGTCTCTGCCTGAGGCCCACTGTCTGCCGCCACATGGCCCAGCCACCACTGCTCAGGCCACCACTCTGGGACCAGCAGCCATTTCTGCCTGGGATTGGCTGTTCCCAGAGCCCGCTGCTTGTCACCACATGGCCTGCTACCACCATTTGGGACCTACAGCATTTCTGCTGCCTACTGCTGTGGGGATCTTGCAGCATTTTTAAAAAAGAACAGGAACCTCAAGTGAGAAATTGCTCCCCATCAGACTGGCCTGTAGGCAAGTCTGGGGGTGGGGGAGGTATTTCCTTGGTTGGTGATTGATGCAGGAGGGCCTGGACAAGTGGTCCCGGAGTGTAGAAGAAAAGAAGCTGAGCAGGGCAGGGAAGCAAGCTAGGTAGCAGTGTTCCTCTGTGACTTTGCTTCAGTTCCCACCTTGAGTTACTGGCTTGGCTTCCATCGACGGACTATGACTAGGATATGTGAGCCAAATGAAAGTTCCTTTTTGTTTAACTTGAGACTATCTATGTAGCCTTGCCTATCCTGGAATTCACTATGTAGACCAGGCAGGCCTTAAATACATCAAGTTCCTCCTACCTCTGCCTCCCGAGTGCTGGAATGAAAGATGTGTGTCACCATGCCAGCTCAAGTTGCTTTTAATCTGTTTGTTTGTTTGTTTGTTTGTTTGTTTAGACAGGGTTTCTCTGTAGCTTTGGAGCCTGTCCTGGAACTAGCTCTGTAGACCAAGTTGGCCTCGAACTCACAGAGATCTGCCTACCTCTGCCTCCTGAGTGCTGGGATTAAAGGCCTGCACCACCAGCACCTGGCTGCTTTTGATCTTTATCATATCAACAGAAACCTAACTAAGACGCTAAGTACAGATATATCTTGAACACCCATATCACACCATACAGCTCCATTGAGTTTTGCACTCAGATGTTTCTCATGTGTGTGTATGCAGAGGGCAGAGGTTAACATCAGGTAACTTTATCATCCTCCATCTTATTTTTATCTTACACTTTAAATTTATTTTGTGTGCATGTTGTGTGTGTGAGTGTGAGTGTGCCACAGCATAGCAAGTGTGGATGTCAGAAGTCAACTTGATGAAGTCAGTTCTCTTCTAACACCACGTGGGTCCCAGGAGTCAAACGCAGGTGGTCAGGCGTGGCAGCAGATGACTTTACCCTTTGAGCCCTCTCACTGGCCCCCTCCACCTTAGTTTCTGAGAGAAGGGTCTCTTTACTGAAGAGACCCACCTGTCTCTATCCCCAGAAGTGCTGGGGTTGCCTGCCACCATGCCTGACTTGTGTGTGTGAGGGTCAGTGAGTATGCACACTCACGTGACTTGTGTGTGTGAGGGTCGGTGAGTATGCACTCACGGACACAGCTCCCCAGTCCCCAGGCTTTTGTGTGCAGACGGAGGCTCTGAATTCAGGTCCTCATGCTTGTACTCCAAGTACTGTATGGATTGAATCATCTCCCTAGCCTGGGAACAAATCTTCCACCGCTCTAGAAATTTCCCTTATAAAAAGCCCCTTCTCCATGTCCTGCCTCAGGCCACTCCTTACCTGATTTCCATTACTATCAGCTGGTTCTGTCGGTTTCAGTACTCCATATGAGTGTAATCACACTGTATTACTCTTTCATATCTGGTGTCTTTCAGCATAATGATTTATCTATAATAACAATTTATGTGGTTTATAGTTTATTGCAATGTACTTCAGAACACACATAAAATTCACCCTTTTAAGACACAATTCCATGGTGGTTTTTGCTATACTCACAGAGTTATATAACCATCACAACTAATTTTAGATTTTCCATTACCCTCAAGAAACCCTTGTACTCATTAGAAGTCATTCCCCATCCCTCCTTTCCTCTACCCCTGACAGCCACAAATCTACTTCCTGTTTCTGTGGACTTTTTTATTCTGAACATTTCATATTGTGATGGTTAGGTAATTTTTTTAGGCTAATCTATCAACTAACTATACTGACAAGATACTTATTGGTTATATGTTGAAGAAATATATAATACAAAATACAGGAAAAGCTGGTCCATCTTTCCTCCCTCCCCACCCACTCCAAATACTCCTCATTGTGCCTTATTGTGATTTGGCCAGAACAGGGCTTAGAGCCAAGATGGATAATTTGATTATCCACACTTTTCCCCCTTGACACAGGGGTTCTTTATGCAGCATTAGCTGTCCTAGAACTAGCTTTATATGCCTTGAATCCACAGATCTGCCTGCCTCTGCCTCTCAGATTGAAGCCATTCACCACCGCCACCACTGCCTGGCTTGATGGTCAATTTGGGGTAGGGGTGGCACAAACCTTTAATCCGGACATTTGGGAGGCAGAAGCAGGCAGATCTCTGTGAGTTTAAAGACAGACTGGTTTACAGAGCGAGTTACCGGAGGAGGCTGAAGAGATGGCTCAGCAGTTAGAAGCACTGCTCTTGAAGATGACCTGGGTTCAACTCCTGGCACTCACACAGCTGTTCCCAATCCCTGTAACTCTAATTCCAGGGCCTCTGATGCCCTCTTCTGACCTCCTTGTGTTCCTGCATGCACATGCCATACATACATACATCATGACACACACATACACACAAAATAAAAAATAAAAATAAAAACTTGCCTGAGCTTGCTGTGGTGGCTCACACCGTTGATCCCAGCACCCAGAAGACAGAGGCTGTGGCTCTCTGTGAACTCCAGGCCAGCCTGGTCTACATCTCCAGTTGCAGAGCATCGTCTATAAACAGCAGCAGCAACAACGAACACATTAGGCTTGAATGAGCACTTTGGGGCAAGTCTGTGAAGATGTTTCTAGAGAGGGAGGTTGTTTGGATTTCTGAAATAGGCCCTCACTCTGTAGCCCAGGCTAGCCTCAAACTCACAATGATCCTCAGCCGCCTCAGCTGAGAATACAAGCGTGACTCGCAATTCCTGCTCTCTAAACACACTGACCTGAAAAACAAACACGTTGCCGGGCGATGGTGGCGCACACCTTTAATCCCAGCACTCGGGAGGCAGAGGTAGGCGGATCTCTGAGTTCGAGACCAGCCTGGTCTACAAGAGCTAGTTCCAGGACAGGCTCCAAAGCCACAGAGAAACCCTGTCTCGAAAAAAAAAAAAAAAAACAAAAAAAAAAAAAAAAGAACAAACACGTGCCCTGAGTGTGGATGCCACTACCCCTATGCTGGGGTCCAGGAATGAATAAAAAGGGAAACGAGAAGAAGCCACCTCTAAGTATCTTGATAAACAGGTACTTAAGCCTGTGCAATACAGCTAAGATCATTAATATTCAGAAATGTACAGTTTTGGGGTTTTTTTTGTTTTGTTTTGAGACAGGGTTTCTCTGTGTAACAGCCTTGGCTGTTCTGGAACCAGGCTGGCCTCGAACTCACAAAGATCCACCTGCTTCTTCCTCCTGCGTGCTGCCATTAAAGGCACGTGCCACCACGCCAGGCAGGCCAGAGGTTTGCTATTACGATTGCAATGCCTTACCTTTCACGCCACTTGGATGGGTAACACCAGGGACCCACAGCATCCGCTATGCATTATGCATGCCACGGGGTGACTATAATAGAAGTACCATTCATTGGTTTTTAGAAATGTAAAATAGACCAGGCTGTGGTGGCACACACCTTAAATCCCAACACTCAGGAGGCAGAGGCAGGTGATTCTCTGAATTTGAGGCCAGTCTGGTGGTCCAGGACAGCCAGGGATACACAGAGAAACCCTGTCTCAACAACAACAAAAACAAATACAACAGAAGAACCTTGTCTTGTTAAAAAAAAAAAAAAACAGAAAAAAATGCAAAATAGAACGGGTTTTTTATTTTCAATTTTTTCTTTACTTTTATTTTGTGTGTGTGCATGTTTTGTGTGTGCAGTGTCCATGGGGGTAAGCAGAGAGCATCAGATCCCCTAAAACCAGAGTTACGTCTCTTTGTGAGCAGCCACGTGGGTGCTGGGAATCAAACTCAGGTCCTTAAGCACCGAGCCATCTCTCCAGCCCCTGTTTTTGCTTTTTGGGTTTTTTGTTTGTTTTGGTTTTTGTTTTATTTTGTTTATTTTGGCAGTGCTTTGCTGTGTAGTCTCAGCCGGCCTCCACCCCCAAGTTTTACAATCCTCTTACCACATTCTCTTTGTTGCTGGGCTACAAACTGCCAAGCCCAGGTCTTGACAGACTCCTGTAAGTTAAACATACACTTATATGACCCAGTATAAGTTATTTACATATATATGTATATATATATTTTTATATCCCACTCTGGTTATTTACAGAAGAGAAGTAAAGTCCACAAAAAATGACTGGTATATAGATATTTATGGTAGCTTCGTTTCCAGTGGACAAAACCTAAAATAACTCAAATGTTTATCAGCAGAAACTTAGAAGAGAAGACCGAAGAAAGGAAGGAGGAAGGAAGAGAGGGAGGAAGGAAGGAAAGAAGGAAGGACGGACGACCTTTAGCTTTGGAAAAAAAATGTTTTTTCTAGACTGGCACTTACAGGCGAGCAGGTTCTGTGACTGGTTTACTGTACTTCGGTGTCTGGTTAATCCCTACAGAGCAATAAACGTTTGCGAATAAAGAATGTGATCTCTCACACAGCAACGGACTTGTCATCACCATTCTTCTGGTTTTTAATTCTCTTATTACCTCCCATCAACAAATGCTCTCTCTACCGGCCTCAGCAAGAGGACACCGGCAGGTTCCGCCCTGATTCCAGGCAGCGCTGGAGACCACACAACCCGCGCGCGCGCGCGCGCAGTAGAGGAATGTGCGCGGGGTGGGTCGCACACTCGGGGAGCTGGACCTTGCCAGCCAGGTGCCCCGAGGGCATCCAGAGGCAGTGGACGGCCCTGGGGAGTGGGCGGCCCGGCAGTGGGCGGGCAGAGGGTGGCAGGGGCGGGACACGGCTGACGCGACACCCGCGGGGGTGAGGCCGGGGGGCCGTCCCGCCCCCGAGGGCAGGCGCTGAGCCCCGGTCCCGCCCCGGCCCTCTGGGGTGTGGGCTTCCTCGCTGTGTTCTGCTCCCCGTGCCTGCGAACCCGCGCGGGTGCCGGCGCCCGCAGCCAGGGTGAGGGGCCGGGGACGTGGCTCCGCTGAGATCGGGGTCGGGGTCCGGCTGGATCTGCTCCGGCCTTCTGACTCAGACGCACACCCAGATTTCGGGATTTCTCTCCTGGGCGGGGAGCGCGTCGTAACTTCCTCATTCCCGCCGGGACCCTCGCTTCCAGTCCGTCTGCGCTGACTTGGAGCCTCGCTGTCACCGGGATTCCTCCCTTGGATTTACCTCACCCCAGTTCGAGGCCATCCCAGCTTGGCTAGGTGCTTCTTGAACCCTGGATACAGATGAGAGGCGGGGCTGCTGGGCTCTGGTTGAAGGACTGCGGGAAGGACGGGGGTTGCAGGGAGTGGATGCTAGAGGGGCGTCGGTCTGTAACTATAGAAGTTGGGAATCTGCTGAATGAAATGGGTGAGGACTGGGGGCGTTAGGACGGGAAGGGGTGTTTCTGTATGGGCGAGTTCCTTCCTGAGGTTTCCTCCTATTCCTAGAATGACTGCAACCCAGGAGAACCTCTTCCCTTACGGGGACTACCTGGACTCCAGCCAGTTGCACATGGAGCCAGATGAGGTTGACACTCTGCGGGAGGGAGAGGATCCAGGTACAGAAGGAGATGGCCCCCACGGAGGGGAGGATCGGGACCTGGGGCCTCCTGAAAGCTACACACTTGGGCTTTTCTTTCCTCCCAGCTGATCGAATGCATCCCTTTCTGGCCATCTACGACATTCAGCCTCTGAAAGTGCACCCCTTGGTGTTCGCCCCTGGGGTCCCGGTTACAGCCCAGGTGGTGGGCACAGAAAGATACACCAGCGGATCCAAGGTGGGGCTGATACTAGGGAGGGTGGGAGAGGGCGGCCTGGCCAGAGTGGATTGGACCGGAAGACCTGGAGGCCATGACTTTCGGATTTTCATACCCCCAGGTGGGAACCTGTACTCTATATTCTGTCCGCCTGACTCATGGTGACTTTAGCTGGACAACCAAGAAGAAATTCCGACACTTCCAGGAGCTCCATCGGGACCTCCAGAGACACAAAGTCTTGATGAGTCTGCTCCCTCTGGCTCGGTGAGTGGGATTTGATGGCTTTCTGTGAAAGGCAAACATCGTCGTCACCCCCTGGCATCCTTCATTCCTGTCTGCCTGTCTCAACCCCATCCTACCCCCTAGTGTAACCTTTCCTCTCCCAGCTCTGTGCTGGACCCTAGTTCCCAGGAAACTTTCCCTGCTGGTTCTCTTTGTCCATCATACTGTGCCAACATTTCAGCCAGGCTGGATGCCCAAAATGTGCTTGGCAACACCCCACCCCTCTTGTCTCCATTCCCAGGACAGAGAGAGACCCTTTCTTTTGCCAGCCTTTCTCCCACTCCAAGGCCGGCTCCAGTGTTTCAGGGATCTAGCCTGCCAGCTCTTCCCTGAGCCCTCCCTCATCTCCTCCATAGCTTCGCTGTGGCCTACTCTCCAGCCCGAGAGGCCGCCAATGAGGACATTCCCTCCCTGCCCCGAGGAGGTTCTGAGGGCTCCACCAGACACGCAGCCAGCAAGCAGGTATGACCAAACACCAGGTCCTATAGCAAGGTGTGGAGTATGCACAAGGCTCTGCCTTACATCTGCTTCTTTCCCAACCCCGTTCAGAAATACCTGGAAAATTACCTCAACCGCCTCCTGACCATGTCTTTCTATCGAAATTACCATGCCATGGTAAGTCCAGGGTCCAGGGTCTAGAAGCCTGGGTGTGTCTGTCTCTCTTCTCTCTCCACCCCCCACCCCCCGCCCTTTTATTGACAGGGTCTTACTGTGTAACCCTGGCTAAGCTAGAACTAACCCTATAGACCAGGCTGGCCTTGAAGTGACAGAGATTTACCTGCTTCTGCTTCCCGAGTGCTGGGAGTAAAGGCCTGTGCCATCATGTCCTAGGATACCTGGGGCTGACTTTCTTTCTTTCTTTCTTTCTTTCTTTCTTTCTTTCTTTCTTTCTTCCTTCCTTCCTTCCTTCCTCCCTTCCTTTATTCTTTCTTTCTCTCTCTCTTTCTTTCTTTTCTTTTTTCTTTCTTTCAATGAGGATCATGAGATCTCCAGGG